AAAGGGGACAATTTGCAAAATACCCCCATAACTTGAGATATATGCCAAAATGCGCCTAAAAGATGTGGGTAGAGGGGAATGCCCTTCTGACCATAAAAATATTGTGTGAAATACCCCTGACGTTGGTTGGACCCCCATCTTTGCAATATACCCCTACGGGGTACCGTTACCCCCATAACTTGAGATATATGCCAAAATGCCCCTAAAAGATGTGGGTAGAGCGGAATGCCCTTCTGACAATAAAAATATTATGTGAAATACCTCTGACGTTGGTTGGACCCCCATCTTTGCAATATACCCCTACAGGGTACTGTCCAATTTTGCAAAATGCGCAGTACTTGCCAACATCTCCTAGGCGCTATTGCAAAAGGCCAAGGCCCAAACGGGGAGGTCCAGATTGCAAAGTTGTACACCCGCCTGACAGGGGCAGCATGATTTTGAGTAACCAAATTGTTTTTTTTTGTAAACGAGTGGATGGTCCACTTAAACAACACAAAGATTGTGGGTCAAAAGGGCATTCCACTCTACCCACATCTTTCAGGGGCATTTTGGCTTATATCTCAACTTAAGGGGGTATTTTGCAAATTCTCCTCCCCCCCCAAAAAAAAAACATGAAAATTTCATGGGGAAAAATTGGTATAAAACTTCGTCATACGAAGAGCTGAGGGTAGTGTAGAAATTTGCAACCAAATTCGTGAAAAGAAAACGAAAACGAGTAGCCATGCACTGGGGCCCTGAATAGTTGTGCTCCAAATTTTTTTTTAATGCATGTAGTTGTTTTTCTTGCCCGGATGGCCAGCCAGGTGTATCACCCATGGGGGTTTGACGCCCCGGGCGTGGGAATAAATGGAGTCAATTTTTCTCTCTTCTTTTTCGGCCGTGGGGGTTCCCTGCGAGTGCCCAGAGGATGTCAAATCCGAGTTCTTTTCCTTTTTTAAATGCTGGCTGTCAGAGGGGGTTAAGGTGCCTTGGTCTGATTCTGTGGGTTTCTTGTATCTTCGGTACTATGAGGAATTATGATGTGCCCCTCAGCCAAGAGTCGTTTGGATTGCAATTCTAGACAACGTACCTTTTTCCTGGAGTTTTTTTTTTCCCTAGTTTTTGGTGCTGGGATTGCCTGGAGCCCTCTCGGCGGGTCATGCCTGGCTGGGCAGCCAGGTGGGTATCCAGGGAAAAGTTTGGTGCCTCGGTGCCAGGTAACACAGCCTAGCAATGTACGTTGTATTCAAATGGAACACAGCCCGTCATATGTGATTAACCGGGTGTGTCTTTTTTGCTGAATTTTGCAGTGAAACTGTCATACTGCCCTGTTTTTTTGCCTTTTTGCTTGTCTTCCTCTGTGTGTGACATGTAGGTGCTTTAGGGTATGTCACATGCCCAGTTTTGACATGTTTGGATCTGCGTAGCATTGTGTTCGCGTTCGTGGGCATATTGCCGTGATATTTTGCCTTTTTGCTTGTTTTCCTTTGTGTGTGATATCTAGGTGCTTTAGGGTATGTCGCATGCCCAGTTTTTACATGTTTGGATCTGCGTAGCATCGTGTTCCCGCTCGCGGGCATATTGCCTTGATTTTTTACCTTTGTGCTTGTTTTCCTTTGTGAGTGATATGTAGGTGCTTTAGGGGTTGGATCTGTGTAGCCTCGTGTTTGCATTTGGAGGCGAACCCGAACGTGTTCGCCCGAACGCGAAAAAAAGTCTTAGGGGTGAACCCCACCGGCCGGCGGCTGGAAAAGTTTTGGCATGGAAGGGCGTTTACAGACCCCACCGGGCCGCCAGCAAGTTTTCCAGAGGTCTGGCGACGTCTATTTCGGACCCCTCCGCCGTTTCTAAGACTCCGCCAGCCGTGTTTCTACATGGCTGGCAGATGGAAAAGTCTCTGCCCGCGGCCGGCACTCTTTTCCAAAACGCCCTCCAACAGGGTAGGGAGGGCAAAGCACCAGCCGTTGGCATCGGGGACCTTCAAGGTTTGTGTTCCCATCGGAGGCAGCAGGCAATAGCGATGAAGAGTGCCACAAAAAAACAATTAAAAAAAATGGAGAAAAAATCAAAACAAATGAGTGCCAACGGAAACAGGCAACGATTGACTGAACTGATTGGCAGGGTGTTTTCCAAGAGGAATTGGTCCTCGGCGGTGGGGTCCCAGAAAAAGTACTTTTCAACTTTCCCAGATGACTTGCCCACTTTTCATGGCTACACGTCTTTTCCAGGCGCCGGCCGGTGGGGTCCACCCCTTAGAAAAATCTGAAAAAAATACATGTCATGTAAAACAACAATACAAGCAACTTTTGTCGTGGAGTCATGTTCAAATTTTAGCCAAACTGTCGAAGCTGGCGAAGCGGAGGAGTGGGGTTGTTTGCATGTGGGCTATTTTGATAGATGAGCATTGTTTGATTGGTCATTTTAGACGAATGGTTCTCTGTTGTTGATTGACATTAGTTAGGTTTTGGGTGTGTCGTGTTTGTAGGATCCCCTTGGGATTCCATGGTGGTAGAGCTTTGTTAGGAGCAGTGTTGTTTGCACGTTGGCTATTTCGATAGATGAGCACCGTGAGATTCGTCGCTTTAGAGGGGTGGTTTACTGTTGTTGTTGACATTGGATAGGTTTTTGGTGTGTCGTGTTTGTAGGCTCCTCTTGGGATTCTATGGTGGTAGAGTTTTGTTAGTTTGTTTGGAGCTTGCGAGCCGTATGTGATATATGCGGTGTTTCATTTGGTTTAGGTTTTTTTTTTTGTTTTTTTTTAATAGAGGGATGATAGGATGTTGAGGCCGGGAATATTGAAATTTGCAGTGGGGGGTGCTCCGGTTTTAGGGTTCGACTGATGATGTCTTGCCCTTCAAAATGATGTAAGGGACGCTACGCCCGTTTCCCGGCTATATAAATGATAGAAAAATAGAAATGAAAAATTCTTAGCCAGACGTGAGTTAAAAATTAAAAAATAAAAGAAAGTTTTTTTTTTGACAGAAAAAATGTATGTTCGCCCGAACACGTTCGCAAGCCGTTCACGCGTACGCATGAATACGGTCGCGCGAACATGGAGGGGCACAAACATGTTCGCTGTGCTACGCAGGTCTGGATCATTAAACCACCGGTACCTGGTCCAACTATTGATCCCGAGCCGGCAGACGCCCTGCGCACCAAGGTTTGTCGAGCCGCCGTCGTGTCGATTCGATTCTCTTTTGGCTGGCGCCTCCAGCCATTGTGGTCCGGTAGGCTGAAGCCCATCAGTCGCGGCGCGGTAACTGGAAACGCCCGCGGCCGATGTATGGGCTGAGTACTGGTGGTTTAATGAAAATTTTGGCATTTCGTTGGATTCGTGGAACGCTTCATTTTAGGGTTTTGAAGTATTTTGTGTTAGGGTCTTAAAGTGTTCTTGTGTTTTTCTTCTTCGTTTTATTTGGCCTGTTTTTTTTTTTTTTTTAATGTTTGCGCTATGGGCCTGTATAGTTTATTTTTGAAAGTCTTGTTGAAAATTTCACTAAAACTGTCGGCAAAAACAACAAATTTTCGGCCTTCCATTAAACCAGCAGTCCGCCCGACCGAAAAAAACCCCGAAGTACCGGAAGGCCGCGTAAGGCCTTTTATAGGTGCACGACTGGGATCCCTTGGCCTACCGGGTCCCAGGCAGCTCACACGGTTCATATGTGGGACCCGCAAACCCGCCCTTGCACGCACCATGCCGGTGTCCGTCGTGTTGTGTCTGGACGTCGAAGTGACCTGGCGACGGTTATTTCAGTGTTTTTTTTCTTAGCGGAAAATAGAAAACATATTGCGTTTTATTTTTATTTATTTTTATTTTTAGTTTTATTTTTTTCTTTTTTTTTCGGCGTGTTTTCACATCCGGTAAACGGACGCGGTCGTTTGGGGTTCCCTCGCGTGGCTAGCCATCCGTGCAGCCATCGCCTGGCGCAAATCCGCGGACGGGTGGAGCATATTCGCGCACGTCAGCGTTCCCCACGTGGCGCCTTATCCCGTACGATACCCGTTCGTATCCGTTTCGCCGTGACCACTGGCCCCATGATGCTGACTTCAATGGGATCAGCAGGCGTCTCTCTCTCTCTCTCTCTCTCTCTCTCTCTCTCTCTCTCTCTCTCTCTCTCTCTCTCTCGTTTCTGCGGAAGTCAAAACGCCATAAAACGATGGTTGTCGCCATCAGCGTCATCTTCCGAGAATCGAGCGGGGGTTACCATCTTTTGCGCCTTTACTTCAGCGGAAAAAAAAAAAAGGTGAGTCCGATAGGCAGATCCCATCGTTTTCGATGACCCTCTTTGGCTACCCCCACCCCCACCCATCCGCCACCATCAGGGACCCGACATATCAGTGGAAGATGGCAGCAATCGAAACTTGACCCGAGACCCCAAATTGCGCCATTAGTCATCGACAACCCTCCACTGGGCACTGCCGATCCGCCGTTTTCTCTCTCTCTCTCTCTCTCTCTCTATGTATATCTCGTCATGCACGTTCTGTATTCCGTAGGCGCCGCTGTCAAGCTGAAGCGGTCAATGCGGGTGAGGTGCTGCAAGAATCCGTACGCGCCGCTACAAGCGTGAGCGCTCAATCCGGAGAGCGAGCGTGGGTTCCGTACTCGGCGGTGCGAGGAGTGGCGGCATCCCTTGCAAATTGGAGCCCGAAGTCGGCGTCTTCTTCTTCTTCTTGTTTTTCTTCTTCTTCTTCTTCTTCTTCTTCTTCTTCTTCTTCTTCGCCAGTACTTCATCTACTTCGCGGCTGGCACCCTATCATCGCCGCTTCTTCTTCTTCTTGTCCTTCTTCTTCCTCTTCTTCTTCTTCTTCTTCTTCTTCTTCTTCGGCGGCGGTTCGTCTTCCTCTTCGCCGCTTCTTCTTCTTCTTCTTCTTCTTCTTCTTCTTCTTCTTCTTCTACTTCTTCTTCTACTTATTCGGTTGGTCTTCCTCTTCGCCGCATCTTCTTCTTCTTCTTCTTCTTCTTCTTCTTCTTCTTTGTTGGTGTCGCGCCGTGACAGTGACGCAGCGCGTATATTCAGTTAGAGAGAGAGAGAGAGAGAGAGAGAGAGAGAGAGAGAGAGAGAGAGAGAGAGGCGCGGCAACCATAGCGACGACGCCCAATATGCCGTCGCCTTCTTCGACACCAGCGGCTGGCCACGGGGTGGGGGTGGCGACTCCGGCTGTCATATCGATTCCTCATCCAGATCCTTCAGCAGCCTCTCCGCCAACGGAAGTCGACGAGTCGGGGGTAGTTGTCCAGGGCGGCGATGTAGTTCATGGGGGGGGGGGGGGGGACAGGCGAAGGAATCGCTCATCACCCCGGCGGATGGGGGCACCTTCCGCAAGCCCCCCAGCAACGAAATGGCGAATGGGGAGAAGATCCGACGCACAGTCCGATAGGTTGGGTGGAGATATTGCAGACGTAATCCCATTACGATGGGTGGACGATGCCTCTTCCTTCAACGGGTATCTCTTTTCGCCTCGGTCGAGCGATGACGAAGGAGGAGGTGGTGATGCTGGCGGCGACGACGAAGTTGGTGATGACGATGGTGGAGGTGGTGATGATGGCGGTGATGACGAAGGAGGGGAGGGTGGCGATGAAGGAGGG